TCACGGACACGAGCGGACCACAGGTCCACAGGTGCACACGCAGACACACAGACAAAGACCCCCTCCCCCCCTCCGTATAGCCTTCAACAAACTGTTGGGGCAAGTGCTGTTAGCGAGCACCTATGAAAATCGGCACGGCGCTCAAAGGGATGGTGAAGACAGCGCCACGCCCGGCCGCCTTTGTCTCCCCAGTGCTGATGTTTTACACACCGCAACAGGTTTTCAGTTAAGGCTTAATTGCATAGACACAAGACAAAGACTGACAGACAAACTAACACACAGAGACACGCAGACACACATACACAACTACAACAACTACAACAACCGGCTTTTGGCACTATAAGTGGCGGTGACGCAACCACGGCGTTTGTGCCAGACTAGGTGCATCTTGCAACGACACACACACACGTGGGACAGTACGGACATTTGCAAACATTGTCGCTGCGGGGGAGGGGTCTAGCCCACGACCATTGTCTCGTTCTGCTATTGTCTCGCGACACCGTGATGATGATGATGATGTAAGGCCAATGAGATCAACATTCGCAATGTGCACATTTCCGTGTAGAACGGATCAGTGGAAGACGATTTTTAACAATGACAAACACTCACCATATTCGTCTATAATACTGCCCTATAAGGGAACCAAAAAATCTAATAGGTGACGTTTCGGGAAATGCCCCTTCTTCAAAGCACATAATACATGTTTCATTGTGTATACAATCACGGATGCGTTGGTTAAGCTTGCTGTTGCACATTCTTTGTTGTTGATGACGATGTTGTTGCTTGTGGTTGGGGGTTGTGAATGGAGAGTGATGATTGTAAGCAGCGTCAGTGCGTTCGAGGGGGTCACGTGAACAGGTGGTTCTGTCCATTGTCCCGCGAAAGCCTCCGACTTTAATCGTTTTTGAAACAACAGCAGCAGCCTGGTAACGCGATGCACCCGGAGACACACACACGTGCATACAAAGACAAAGATCCCCCGAACAGCCTCAAGAGACTGTTGGGGCAAGTGCTGTTAGCGAGCACCTATGAACGCCTGGCACGGCACCCGAGGGGGTGGGTGGCCAGCACCACGCCCGACCGCCTTTGTCTCCCCAGTGGCGATGTTTACACACCGCTCCAGGTACTCATTTGAGGTTGAGTCGACCTTGGGGAGACCCAGGACTGGTTCACATAATCATCACTGGTGTTGGCCGTGAGCTGGAATCGAAGTCGGTTCGCCGGGTTCGTAGCGCAGTTGAGCTCACCGCTAAAATACCGCTCGCCACAATATACATTCATTCATTCTAACATACGTACGTACATACACAAGCACACATACAGATTCAGACATTAATACATTGGAATACAAGCACAGATACGTACGGACTCGTGCACACATACATATGTAGACATACAACAGCAGATACTATACATATAGGCACAAATATGTACAAGCATGCATACATACACAAGCACAAATGCATACAGACATGTGCATGCACACGTGAGAAATAAGCGTTCACACACACGCACACACACGCGTACATACAGACACAACTGCATACGTGCATACACAGACAACCACATGTACGCATGCACACACGCACTCGGGAATGCACACACGGTCAGATAACCTCACTGCAGGCACACAATTCACACCACACACAGAACCACACACACCACACAATTCACAATCACACGATACACACGTGCACTGCAGACCTCGCACACACCGCAGAGCTCCCAGACAGCACACACACACACACCGCACAGCTCCCACAGACAGCACACACACACACCGCACAGCTCCCACAGACAGCACACACACACACACCACACAGCTCCCAGACAGCACACACACCGCACAGCTCCCACAGACAGCACACACACACCGCACAGCTCCCACAGACAGCACACACACACACACCACACAGCTCCCAGACAGCACACACACCGCACAGCTCCCAGACAGCACACACACACACCGCACAGCTCCCAGACAGCACACACACACACCGCACAGCTCCCACAGACAGCACACACACACACCGCACAGCTCCCAGACAGCACACACACACACCGCACAGCTCCCCCAGACAGCACACACACACACCGCACAGCTCCCAGACAGCACACACACACACCGCACAGCTCCCCCAGACAGCACACACACACACCGCACAGCTCCCACAGACAGCACACACACACACTGCACAGCTCCCACAGACAGCACACACACACACCGCACAGCTCCCAGACAGCACACACACACACCGCACAGCTCCCAGACAGCACACACACACACCGCACAGCTCCCCCAGACAGCACACACACACACCGCACAGCTCCCAGACAGCACACACACACACCGCACAGCTCCCCCAGACAGCACACACACACACACCACACAGCTCCCACATAGAGCACACACACACCGCACAGCTCCCACAGACAGCACACACACACACTGCACAGCTCCCACAGACAGCACACACACACACCGCACAGCTCCCAGACAGCACACACACACACCGCACAGCTCCCAGACAGCACACACACACACCGCACAGCTCCCACAGACAGCACACACACACACCGCACAGCTCCCAGACAGCACACACACACCACACAGCTCCCAGACAGCACACACACACACCACACAGCTCCCACAGACAGCACACACACCGCACAGCTCCCAGACAGCACACACACACACACTGCACAGCTCCCAGACAGCACACACACACCGCACAGCTCCCACAGACAGCACACACACACACACTGCACAGCTCCCAGACAGCACACACATACCGCACAGCTCCCAGACAGCACACACACACACACCACACAGCTCCCAGACAGCACACACACACACACTGCACAGCTCCCAGACAGCACACACACACACACCGCACAGCTCCCAGACAGCACACACACACACACTGCACAGCTCCCAGACAGCACACACACACCGCACAGCTCCCACAGACAGCACACACACCGCACAGCTCCCAGACAGCACACACACACACACCGCACAGTTCCCAGACAGCACACACACACACACCGCACAGCTCCCAGACAGCACACACACAAACACCGCACAGCTCCCAGACAGCACACACACACCACACAGCTCCCAGACAGCACACACACACACACCACACAGCTCCCAGACAGCACACACACACACACCACACAGCTCCCAGACAGCACACACACACACACACCACACAGCTCCCAGACAGCACACACACACCACACAGCTCCCAGACAGCACACACACACCACACAGCTCCAAGATAGAGCACACACACACCGCACAGCTCCCACAGACAGCACACAGACACACACCACACAGCTCCCAGACAGCACACACACCGCACAGCTCCCAGACAGCACACACACACACACCACACAGCTCCCAGACAGCACACACACACATACCGCACAGCTCCCACATAGAGCACACACACACACCGCACAGCTCCCAGATAGAGCACACACACACACACCGCACAGCTCCCAGACAGCACACACACACACACCGCACAGCTCCCAGATAGAGCACACACACACACCGCACAGCTCCCAGATAGAGCACACACACACACACCGCACAGCTCCCAGACAGCACACACACACACACCACACAACTCCCAGACAGCACACACACACATACCGCACAGCTCCCAGGCAGCACACACACACACCGCACAGCTCCCAGTTAGAGCACACACACACACCGCACAGCTCCCAGATAGCACAAACACATACCGCACAGCTCCCAGACAGCACAAACACATACCGCACAGCTCCCAGATAGCACACACACATACCGCACAGCTCCCAGATAGCACACACACACCGCACAGCTCCCAGAAAGAGCACACACACATACCGCACAGCTCCCAGATAGCACACACACACATACCGCACAGCTCCCAGACAGCACACACACACACCGCACAGCTCCCAGACAGCACACACACACACCGCACAGCTCCCAGACAGCACACACACATACCGCACAGCTCCCAGACAGCACACACACACACCGCACAGCTCCCAGACAGCACACACACACCGCACAGCTCCCAGACAGCACACACATACCGCACAGCTCCCACAGACAGAACGCACAGTCCATAAATACACATTGCACACATATCGTGTAAACATACCGAGACAGAGATCCCGGGCTGTTGTTATCGAGCAGCTGTGAAACGTAAGCACGCACGCATATACTGCACAAACTGCACACACACAGACACACAGCACACACGCATATACTGCACATACTGCACACAAGACAGAGATCCCCCGAATAACCTTCAATAGACAGTTGGGGCAAGTGCTGTTAGCGAGTACTGTAGCTATGGAGGTCGGTACGGCCGCCTTTATCTCTCATTATTTGAGGCTGAGTCGACCTAGAGGAGGCCCAGGACTGGTTCAGATAATCATCACCGGTGTTGGCCGTTCGCGGTAATCGAACTCGTGTCGCCGGGTTCGTAGCGCAGCGCGCTAACCGCTGCACTACCGCTCTATCCAACACACGTTGTGCGCACATACACAACCACACACAGATTTACAAAGACAAATATCCCCCGTGTAGCCTCCAACAGGGGCAAGTGCTGTTAGCTAAACATGCTCACGTAAACACACATACTGTATACAAAATGCACACAGACACACTCACACAGCACACACGCACAGGGCACACACAAATACATCACACGGAGACACGTTCATCAACAACAACAACCACCACCATCCACCACCAAGTGGCGGCGACGTCACCACGGTGTTTGTGCCATACTAGGTGCACTTCGAGGCCACGTGAAGTGTCGAGGGCTCGCTGACAGGAGGTCACGGAACAGACCCAGGTGCCCAGGTGCAAAAAGACACGCTCACACACATATAGCCACACTGCATGGAGCGCACGAAGACCACACACGGACAGACACGCTCGCTTACATCACCACTCGCACTAACACACACACACGAACATCACTCACCAGCTGTAGCCGCGTTCCTCCTCGCTCTGCCGGGGTCAGCTCCGTAATCAATCCTCATGGGGGCGAGGAGTGCGAGGAGGGCAATTGACGAGGTTGGTGACGAGGAGGCGATTGACGCTAGCGGGGTGGGGGGGGATCACGAAGAGTCCACAGCCCCACCGCTACCTCTTCCGGGCTTGGAGTGGAACCCTCCTCATCTGCTGGGTGTAGCCCATGGCGCGTCTCTCTCTCTCTCTCGCTGTCTCTTCCACTCTCACCTCCTCGACTCTCCCTTCTCTCCGACTCTCGTCACCTCCTCTCCCTGTCTCTCACTTCGTCTCCCCGACCCCCCCCCCCCCCTCTCTCGTGTCTATCTGTCGACTCCCCGACTCCCCCTCCTACTCCGCGCCTCTCGCTCTCTCCTCCCGACGTCTTCCACTCTCGTCTCTCGCGCTCACGTTTCTCGGACTCTCCCCCTTATCCTCGACTCCCCCCCCGCCACCCCGCCGCTGCTCTTCCCGTCGCTGTGTTCAGGGAGCGCAGCGTGAGACGCATCCGCGCCTCTCAGGCGCCTGCCTCCCTGCCTGCCCCTGCTTGTCTCTGTCTCTCCGCGACTCCCCCTCCTCCTCCTCCCTCCACCAGTCCCTCCCCCTCAGCGCCACCCCCAACCCCACCCGCCTTCGTCTCCCCGGACTCTCCCTTGGGCAAGGAGAGCGAGGCTCAGAGCGCCCGAGCAGTATATGCCCTCGGCTCGGAGCTGCGAGCCCAGCACCTGTTGCTGGCGTGCGTTCGATGCCGCTCGTTTCGCGGACGATGCAGATGACGAAGATTCCGCTCGCTCAGCGAGGAAATCGTGAGCCTCGTGCCACTTTTTCCAGGAGGATCCTGTCCCAAGTTTTAGCAATCAGGGGGGAGAGGGGAGTGGGCGATGATCCCTCAGTGGATTCCAATTGAGTCATTTGCGATGCAATGTTTGCCCACTAATGGCTTACTTTTGCGGATGACGCCACGGGGTCTTTAACGTCCGCCGTGGTGAAGCAGATGGCGCGTATCTTATGGCTCACCCAGCGGGCAGTATTAATCAGGGCGGCCGCTGGAGTCGAGCCGTGAACCTCTGCTGCAACAACGACAACGCGCCCGACCGCTCGAGCGTTCTACCGCGTCACGAGCCCCTAGACGATGGGAGAGACTGAGGTGACAGTGAGGAGGGCAGTCCGTTCATCAGCCCCCCTCTAATCACAGGGGTAGGGACCCCCCTCCCCCCCCCCCCCACTTGCACCACTTGGGTGGCCGAGCGGGGCAATTTCTCTTCGCCTGCGAGCTCCGTAGCCTTGGCGCCGCTCCTCGTGGTGGCCGCTCGGTGGGAGCAGCGCGCGCGCCTCCTCCGCGGGGAGGCTTCGAGACGCAATGGAATAGTCAGCGACGCAGCGGGTCGGCAGAGATCGTCATCGCCGTTGTCGCTGCTCGCTCTTCCGTCTGGAAAATCACCACAAAGATTGCAGGAGTGTGCTCCCGTGGGGGAGAGGGGAGTGCAGGTTTAACTGAGGTGAGGTTGTGGGCGATGCGATGCCAAGCCATGGGCTAAAGTGCGGCCATCCCCTTCAGCGAGGAGAGGGAGGGAGGGTTGGGTGGACATGATCATGGAAGAGTGCTCTGCTACAACTCAGCAAAACCAGCAAGAAACTGTCGGAAGGGGGGAGGAGCAGGGGTTGGAGGGGGGGGGGGCATTGGGAGACGAGGGGCGGGGTCGTCTGTTTTAATTGAAGTGGAATTGTCGGAGCCACCGCCGTTCCTTTGATCCCGTTCGAATGTTGTCGTTTTAATGTCGTTTTATAAATTGCTTCGTCGTTCGGGCAAATTGCATCTCACAGTCGCCGGGGAAACCACAAGCGAGCTGGAAGGCAGCAGCCGGTGATGCCAATAATTGCCCAAGCTCTGTAGTCCTTTATTCATTCCGATGTGTTTTGCCATCTACTGAATGTTTATACATGTGGGGAGGAAATTGGGGCGCCAGGGTAAAAAAAAAACCCCGTTGCGAAAACGCGAAGGGGACGACGCTGAGAAGGGACAGATGGGGATTCGTCCCCACTGTTCTGTGCCGCCTTCTCCTGCCGAGCCAGGCCACGGAACTTCCTTTCCTCATCGATGCCCACGCAACTTGAATGCGGTGATCCACCAACCCTGGCAGCTGCCTTCACAGCGCTGGGTTCCAGGCTGCCACGTGCAGGATGGGCACCTCCACCTGGCATCTGCCACACGGAGGGGATGGGTGGAGATAATGATGAAGATAGTGATCGAGATGACGATGATAATGATAACGACGATGCGTGTGTATTATTGCAATGATGACCGTGATGATGAAGCGAGGAGAGGCGCTGTGACAATCCACCAACCCATGGAACGAGTGAAACCGCCGCATCCTTGCGTCACGTGAGGCTGATGTTCGCCCCGCGAGGGCTCGGGTGCGGTTTGTGCATTCGCAGGCGCTCACACACCCCACGATAAACGAGTCCGATCTGATCGGATATCAGAGAGCAAAGCAGAGATGAGCCTGGTTGATACTTGGATGGGTGACCATCACCACCAGGGCTTGCCAGGTGTTGAAGGCGTGAGGCTGCTGCGACGTGGTGGCCAGGAGGTGACAGTCCGCGGTGTCTCCCCCTCGTCTACAGCGGCGCGGTGCCGGGTTGGCTCTGGACTATTTGGGTCTCCTCCTCCCACGCGACGCCAAACTCTCACTCCTTCTGGGATCGGCCGAAAAACATCCCCCAGGACCCTCCTGGGCAAGGGTCTTGAGGCTCAGCGAGGCTATGCCGACTTAATAATTGGCATGATGATGGTGACGATGGTGAATGGAAGAATATCAACATTGCACACACGAATTAGTTGTTGTCGTGTAATCCCGATAAGCCGGGGCGGCCTGGACAGTACAGTACAGCAAGTAGGTAGCAGGTACAAGACTCATCCGATGCATCGTAGGCGCATGCTGAGTGTTGTCCCCTCGTGTGCAGGGTTGTCTCCGGGCTCTCGCACGTGACGCCAAACTCTCACTCCTTCTGGGATCGGTCAAACATCCCCCAACGTGGCAGGATCCTCCTGAGCAAGAGCCTTGAGACTCATCGAGGCTGTCCTGGGTCAATAATTGCCATGATAATAAATTGCAAGATGATGACTTTGGGCTTGTAAAGGTGACTTGAACGTCGGTTTTGCTTAATTCAACCAGGTGCGTCAAATTAGCGGAGCCGCTTGGCTGGACTTGGCAAAGTTCGATTCCAGCCCAAATGCTGTTCTCTGGAATATAATTGTGCATGCAGTACTTCCCTTTTGTCAGTCCGCCCGCTAGATGACAGCCTCTCTACACCGTGCCACTCGTAGGGGTTCATTTGACCATACTTCACCACCCTGGTTTTGTGAAGGTGCGGAGCATACACGGAGGAGCATAGTACGTACCAACAATGGATATTTTTTTTTTATTTAAAGCTTTCGTGACTGCAGGGATTCACATTCTTGTTTCTACGTGACTTTACCGAAAGAACCAAGAATAAAATGTATATGTTGTTTTTGTTTTAATTCTGAACTGCTCTGCCACCGATGTAGCCTCGCAGAAGCCTGCAACCACCACGTGCTCTACCGCACCCCGTGGTCATTCCGCGAGGGAGCCGCGATCGTCATTCACTCTGCGCCAAACGAGACCACGAATTTCCAGTGCAGGTCGTTAAATTGTGGAAGAGTAATGTGATAATAAACATATCTACCGTGTCGACATGCTCCAGGCTGTTAGGGCCAAGTACTGTTCGCGAGCACCTATAACGACCAGAACGATGCACGAATGAGTGGTGTGGCCTGAAAACCGGCCGCCTTTGTCTTCCCCAGGTGGAGATGTTTACACACCGCGCAAAGCTACATATATTTGAGGCTGAATCGACGTAAGGGTCGACCCACTGACGCAAGCCGTTGTTTGGATTCGAACGAAGGAAGCTGGGTTGGTCGCGCAGTGTGCTTACATACGTAAACAATAGCGTCCACATTTATATGCCCTATACAAGTCTATGAATCCTATGTAAATATATGGGCCTTTTGTTAGTTTATGGGTTCCTCGGGTTAATCTATGGGTCCTATGCCATTCTCTGGTTCCTCTGTTAGTCTAAAGGTCCTATCTCATTATGTGGTTCCTATATCATTCTGAGTCCTCTGTTAGTGTATCGGTCCTATGCCATTCTATGGGTCCTATATCATCATATGGATTCTATGTTAGTCTATGGGTACTCTGTTAGACACGCAAGCACAGACGCGTAGAGAGGTTATGTAGAGGCACAGACGTGCAAACATGTGGGTGCTTACAGATATAGTAGCGCGTTCTGCACGTAACTCAACTCCCTCGACGCCCATTGCTCTCGCTCGGACTCTCTCTCAGCTGCCGCCCTTCCACTCTTTCCGTCGCCACCCTCTCTCTCTCACTATGCCCCACCCCCCTCTCCTCTCTATATCTTTGCCCCCCCCGCCCCCGCTATGCGTCTACAAGGCAGCGAACACGGGGTGGGAGCGTGGGTGGAGAGGGGTCTTAGCTTCTTGGGTTTCTCAGGCTGCCCGTTCACAATGACAGCCACAACTGTGAGCTCCGTGTGATTTATTTATTTATTGTGGAAATAGATTGAGGCATAGACCCCGGGACGCCAGAGCAGGAAAGATCCCCCCACTCCTTCTCCCAGTTCCCCCTCCTCCTCCCCTCTCATCTCCCCCCTACCCCCCACCATCAGTAGGTCCAATCAATTCCGAATCTTCTCGTAGCCAACTAGCCCATCTCCCATCCGCTTACACACAGACAGAGCAAAGACAAAGATCTCCCGTATAGCCTTCATTGGGCTGTTGGAGTAAGAGCTGTTAGTGAAAACATACCAAGGCCGGCGCGGCATGAGGAGGAGGGGGGTTGGTGGGCAGCACTACACCCGACCGCCTTTGTCTCCCCAATGCTGATGTTTACACACATACATATGGTACTACTTAAAGACGTAGCCGATTTAAAGGGCGGCCCAGGACTGCTGCAGATATCCGTCACGGACGTTCATCGTGAGCGGGAATGGAACTCGGTTCGCCGGCCGGGTTCGTAGTGCAGTGCGATAACCTCTGTGCCACCGCTCCCCTACAAAGACAAAGGCACACATTCGTCCAACCCCCTACTACCCTTCGCTCCAGGGAGACGGGGTGGATTTTGTGCGTGGATGAAAGTAAAACAACCTCGTAAAATAGCAATTAATATCGCTGGTGTCGTTTAAATAATTGACATTAAAACCACAATGAGAAAACGCAGTGCCGTTTCTCTTAGCAAACACGTAATCCCACGGTGGGTAGGGGGGGGGGTCTTTTTTGCAGTGGGCCCCCCTCTGGAGATGTTTTGTTCTCGACAAATGTCAGGGAACAGACATGGACGGTAGCGCCAGACGGTGTGGAGGAGGGACGCCTTCATCCAGCAGTGGTTAAACACAAGCCGATGATGATGATGATGATACTGCTGCTGATAATGATGCTGCTGCCGCTGATGATGATGCTGCTCATGATGCTTATGCTGCTGATAATGATTCTGCTGTTGCTGCTGATGATGCTGTTGTT